CCAGGTAAATTGCATCTTCAGGGATTAGACTTCGCAAGACGCCTTACGTACTGAGGTCCTTCTAATGAATATGTTGCAACTGAATACACATAAAATCATCATGCATTATTTGGTTTTCTAGGTAAGTACCTATCACCTTAAGTGGCCTTATGCCACTTCGCGGTTACTGGTGAAATAAAAGTCAGAAATAGATTTTATATGTGTTACAAGCAGATAAGTTGCAAACTATTCCTTATCTTCAGAAATCCTACTTATTTGAAAGAATCTTATCAGAAATTAATATGCCTGCCAACATTATCATTTTAATCCAATTTTAGAGAAAATAATAGACAGTAAAATTTTTGATTGAATTTCGTTACTAAGCGGTAAAAAAGGCAAGGTAAATACTTATGAGCAGTAGCTATACGTGAGACAAACATAAATAAAGTATTAATTAAAGAGCGTATTCCTTCTGTTATAAGGCCGGCCTCGTACTTGAGAGTTTTATTGGCATGGCTTTCGCTACAGTATAGATTTGAAAAGAAATTCTGTAGGAATCTTAGGGTAAATCTATAGCCTACGGAAATCACTATTTCATCATCGTCCATTGCAATACAATGCAGGGCTATAGGTTTTTTCTAGGGTTTGCCTCTTCATGCTGCTAGTAAGTGGGTCACAGTTTTGAAAGTTCTGGTTGATCAGTAAGCATCGTGCGCGGCCTGTCATTACCTACTCAGAGTCATTTAATGATTCTTTTCCTTAGCAATATTTTTCGGAACAAAATCGTTGCTAGGAAAAGATGTATTTTTTTTATGTTTAAAATAAGTACGGCATTTAGTCGGTCTTACGATCAAAATGTATTCTACTGTCGTTTATACGTGACATTTTACTCCCATTTTGCTAAATATGTATCAACATTACGATTTTTTAAAGCTTGACATACCTACATGTTCATGTATGCAACAGTTCGCAGTGGTTTTATGCACGTAACTATATTATGAATGCAAGTAAGTGCAAGTGCTTAGGTACGGATAATTATCTTTTGTTAACTTTCTTGAGTGTGTGCTTGGCATCCAGTTTCATTTTACCTTTGAGCAACTTCGCCTTAAAGTTAACCGTGTTTCTAAAATCCGTTAGCCAATATAATACATTAAATATATTTTTAAGATATCATTAGATATCCGTTACCGCTCTGACGTATCGATAATTTATATTTTATACAAAGGAAACGTGATATTTGCAATCAATATTTCAGTGACTGTCCGGTCTGGAAATAAATAGCACATCCTGTATACAAATTAGCAGAAATCGATCAAAGTTTTTGACAGAAATCCCATGTATTTAGTGTCAATAATCCTAAGAACCTATTATCTAGCGATGATCTCCGGCCACCGCAAGCGCGGATTTGCGGACGGCGTGTAAGTATAGCTCGACGCCTCACCAGAACCATAACCGAGCGTATGGCGAGTAGCATTCCTCGCGCGCCTCAAAGAGCCTATAGACCACCACAGACGGGGCCCTTAAGACTGATGTTCAGCCGGGGTTGCGGGGCAAGTGCAATAAGACACCGCGGCCTCGGCCTAGAGCAGGAGAAGTAACAGGGGGTTTTAGTCAGAAAGGGTCTCGCCTCAGCCTGGGCGGGAGCAGTCATTTGATAATTTTGCCCTCACAAAAAAAGAAGTCTTATCTAATCAACATAAAACATCTTACTTGGTTATACCTAACCCATCCTACCTTAACATGTGTAGTTATGCAGCCAGTTGAAAAAACATCTGTTGAATACCAAATTTGCATACGGCAATGCCTATTCAAATTAATCGATTTTAGATACTATTAATAGACACATATTTAGAATTAAACTGGTTAAATTATTAAAGAATCTACGCAACATTTGTAGCTATTTTAGTAACTGAACAGTTTTTGCTTCAAAATCGTTTTAAGGATAGTGACGTAAAACCATACAGAGCTAGTGCAGATATTTATCAACTTGGAAAGGCTTAGTCTTACACGGACATGTCTGTCGTTACCGATACTTTATTAGTTAAGTATTTCAATACATTTGCCTGCTTGACTAAACTCACGACCGACCAGCCATTCTGGTTACGTGAACTAATTTATAATCACGATACTAAAAGTAATTTTGCACATTTATATTCTTACTTTTACGATTAGGTATATCTTTTTATTTTATTATACAAGAATATGGGATTAAAATAAATGCTGGCAATTATTTCATTTCTGCAGTCTATTTGTAGAAATATTGCCTAAATTAGCACACTTTGTTCAGATCCCACCCCTACAAGTAAAACTGTTGAAAACTTATGTTTAAACGCGAAGTTAGGTCAATGTAATAATTATGAGTACGTAGTTAAATGTCCAATATACCTCTAGTTAGTAAAAAAGATAAGTATTAGTTCAGACATGTAGCCAAAGTTTGTAGGTACTCTTCGAGCGTAATAATATCTGCAGTGACGCGGTAACGGGTCAGAGAGCAATTTCTCAGTTAGGTAGACTGGTCATTAGTTAATCAGGAACACATCATAGCCATCCTGTTTAGTCCACGTCATCGTTTGATAAGTACATCCTATTGTTCTAGTGAGTTTCCAAACCTCTTATTTATCGGATCCGGTATACTACAGATTAAAAGTACCGACGCGATGGTCCTACAACCGCCGTAATTTTTAAAGGGTCACATAAGTCTGTAGATTGTTGGTTATTTTGGCTTGATTATGAGTATGATTGAACAGTTGCCGTGGTGGCTAGGCAACTGGCTGCCGTGCAACGTGTCGCAGGTTCGATTGTCGCACGGAACGACTCTATGTGTGATATACAAATAATAATTGTTGTTCCGTGTCTGGGAGTGATGTGTAAGTACCTACGTGAAATTGTATGTTTGGAAACGCACACATGAGAAAATCCTAGTAGGGCGCAACGATTTTTATAAAAAAAGAAGAAAGTAAGCGATTTACTGTATATAATTTTTTTGGTAATTCGTGCACAGGATTCGTCATAGCATTCAGCGTATGTACTTTCTGTGTTACTGTACAGTTTTAAAGTTATGCTGCCTACCATGTTCTAATAAACTAACGGCAATACTAAAAACCAATGTTTGTAACTAATTATATGCTTGAATGTAAATTTATCAGACCTATTTCAATTATTCAGACGATAACTAATACTAACTTACTAGTGCAATAAGTCGTTCCTCATAGTAACCGATCGGCCACTACAAGACGCTAGTAAACGGCAATTATATTATTGCGTCAAGATCAGAATGATATCCCCTTTGACAGTTATTTTAACGGTCAACGAGAGGATGCATGTTTAGAAGTTTCTAGTGAAATGTGATAACGATTTGAATTTAAAACGCGGAATGAATTTAAACTAAAATTTGAATTTGTTTAGGTGGCCACATTTTCTTTTGTATTTTACAAGCTTCCGCATGCATATGCGAAAAACAGACAGCAGCAACAGTTTTAAAAACAGCAGCGTTTATATCGATAGCTCGAATAAAATACGCAAATCAAGCATAATTAATAGCCTATAGCACTCAGAAACATTGAAGCTATCTATCAGAGAAATAATTATGGTAATCCGACTATAGCGGTTCCCAAGATTATCGCCTACATATGCACAAACTTACATATTTTACCTCTTTATAATGTTAATACCTATAGTTTTTTTAAGGTTCGCTAAACTTATGAAAAAATTAATAATAGATACTGATTAACAGACTTTACTTTGTGCATGTATTAAATTATTTAAAATTCTCGTGTTAAAAAATTAGTTAGTTTCCTCCGACAGGGCTTTACTATTATACTATTTTTTATACAATTTTAGGTATATGAATATAGTAGGTATGTGCCTAGTTTGAGAATCAGCGACTGACTTTCATACCACTAAGTGATAAATAAATATTTTATATGGCAAAATAACGTTGGCCGGGTCAGCTATATACTTCTAGGTATATATCCTGTACTATGAAATACGTAAGCAGGCACGCCCTTTTCAGGCGTGTTTTTTAAAAAGATATAAAAAATAGTATTTATCACATTGAACGGTAGCCAATCAGACCGTTTAGGCTATCGGATTGGCTAATTAAATTTTATTTAATCTTTTTCATATAATCTTACTCAGCCTATCATTGCGCAATATTTAATAAGCGGTAATCGTCACTATTCATTACTTAATCCACACATTGATTTTCTTTGAAATCAGAACAAAGTATAAGTACTTATTATATGAAATGAAAAATAGATCCGGCTGGAAATATAGATAAATTATTTAGATTTCTTAAGTAATATTTATAATGTTTTTCTTGTTTTAGTCTCCGGATTATTTATTATTTTGCATTTTATTTATTGTTCTTCAAATAATTCAGTAAATCTGTTAAACTTTTTCTCATAAATCTCTTTAATTGTAGACGAAAACATTTGCACGTTAAAATCTTTTAAAATGTAGTTGTTTGTTAACTAGAGTCACAATTAAAAAACTTGTTTCGGAAAGTTATAAAACATTTATTTTCCAGTAGATTCTGATATTACCAACATTATAAAATAAATAATCAGGCACTTGACGAACACATTCTGAACAGCGGTTACATATAGATACCACTTGACTTATTACTTTGAAAATAACACTGAGCACGTACCAGTCTTTTAATATCCTTACATCATTCTTTATTGTTAATATTATTTTTAAACGTAGAAATACAAATTCACACTGGATATCAAAACTGTGAAATATTTTCTCACTAATCATTATTTTTTATGCTCGTAATCACAAATAGGCAAGGGTCTTTTTTAAATTTACAAAATGGTCATGCATTTAGAGTCTTTTCAGTGATGACGACAAGTTTCTATCTAACTAAAGTTAGTCGATAAGATTTTGAGCAATTATTACATGACTCCTTACTTAATTAAAAAGTACTTTTATAACACTCAGACACTTAAAGTTACATTTGATTCGAATTGAGTTTTCGTTTCACTAAATTTAAACTTACAAATAAAACATTTTTATCAATAATCCTTAGTTGTTAGAGGCTTAAGACAGTTTAAAAATTAAAGTATCGTATAGAATAGGAACTTAATGCCTACATTTAAATGAAATCAACGGCCTACTTAAACTACTTATTTTCTAAATTGTACCAGACGTGACGTGACGTGACTGTGTGTATTATAATACACACAGTCACGTAACGATACAAATAAGCACGTGAGGGTATTTTCACGTGTTCGCAATTCTAATATTTCATTCAAAAAAATTACTAGTTAAAGAATGAATACTTCAACATATCTTTTCCAGTTTACGATTGTGACACTGATCCGCAATTGCATTTTACGTTATATTACTTAGTTATCACATATAACTGTATTGAGTATCACGTGTTAGTATTAAACACATTAATTGCTTAAATATATCCAGTTCATCCATCCTCTAACTGTTTTTCAACGGTCCCATTATTTCCATTCAACTCTACCATTTCAGCTGCAATCTTATGCTTCTTGGGTTTGTACGCGTCTGGCCCTATTAACGACAAACCCACAGGTAAAAATATTAAACCATTAAACAATCCAAATAATATAACTAAAAGGAAAATTTTAAAGAAAGATTGGAAAGTATACGCTTTAGACATACTAAGAAGAGATAATGACAAGAAAGTGGAGCCGCCGCCCAACATTACCGCAGATCCAATAGAAGTGACTGTTTTGAAAGCTCTTTCTGAACTAGAGCCTTCTGTCAATGTTAAAAATGTATGGCCAACGTGAGCGGCATAATCAACACATAGACCAGTCGCGAGCTCGAGACCTATGCAACACACAATATCTACAGTCATACCCCATCTTTGCATACAACCTAATACATTGAGAATTGTTAATAAAACACAAACAAATATCCATAAACACATTTGCAGATTCGTTATCAATATTACAGTACAAAGCATTACACAAAGTAGAGCCAGCTCTATGTTCCTTTCGACTTCAACTGCTATTATTTCATCAGTGACCCAATTTGCAAATACTTTAGACCAAACGCTACGATACCCATCGCCACTTGTTATATTTGTGGTCTTTACAATGTTTCTTACGTGGTTCATGGCTGGTATATATTCTTCAGGACCTCTAAATTTAGCAAAATTGAAAAGCATTGTTGAAGCCTTTATTTGTGTAGCTGGAATGCCACATGCGAACGGTTCAGAGAATTTAAAGTTAACTTGAAATCTGCCGCCAATAGGGCTGTACAGAAATCTTGACAAATGTCTATTAAATTCTTGGTCTGTTAATGCTGAAGCATTTTTTACGAGATCGCGATTATAGTTTTGTAAAACATATTGATGAAAATGTTCCACCCAAGAACTTACATCATAAATGTATGTCTCTTTTTTTAACTCTTGAATCATATCGTGTATTTTAATGAATTCTTTGTTATAGTTCATTTCACCTAAAAATACCATGGCCATGTTTCCCTCTTCAGGATAGTAAATTTCGTTAGCATCAAGAAAATCTTTATAATAAGTGTCGTCAGGAATAAACCACTTCGGGTCAAACCTTTGCTCCAAGTGAAGAATAGCTTGAATGCTAAAACCGGTAATAGCTAAAGTGAATAAAATAACGATGATTTTGCCGGGAATTGTAAATACGACACGTTTGTAAAAGTGTTCTAAAAATGATTGAAATATAGTTTTACTCTCTGAAATTCTTATTTGCTTTTTATGTTGATAGCAGAAAAGAATTCCGTTTCTATTATCTTCAATTCTTTTCAAATCTAGCGTGAAAACTGCCACATAAAATGTTACTGAAAAACAAAATATGAAAAATACGCCCGTAGCGGCGTAAACACAAAAGGACTTCAACGACGGAAGAATCGTAATAGCACCAATAAGCAGAGCAACTATATCTGTAAAGGATGTGATTACGATAGACACGCCGGCGTGTTTTAACATGAGGCCTACTTTAACGGGCAACGTTTTTTTAGCTGCTGATTCAGGTAAATTGTTCCAACAAGCATTCATCACAAACATATCGTCTATTCCTAGACCCATGAGGAGAAATGGTAGAGATGAATGAATTGGACCAAATGATATACCAAGAACAGAACACCAACTTACAGCAGTTATGTAAGCTAAACCTACACATAAAAGGCCTACACTACCCAAGGTTAGCTTAATTTCTAACCAGTTATATCGCGATAATGCAAACTGGATGTACAAAAACATTAAGAGGATACCTAAAAATAGTTTATCTAATTCATCAAACATGGCTTTGCCACTAATATCTGCAAAACTTCTCCCAGCCTCATAGTACAACTTAATATCAGAATAATTATGAGAAATAGACTCCATTAAATCTAAAAATTCACTTTCCCACATAGCTAGTGGAACAGATACCCAGTCTTCAGTACCAACTAAATTACCCACCTCATTGACATCAATACTAGTCATATTTACTTGAGTGAACCAGGTCAACATTATAGACCCAGCAGAAATAATATCACCATGTTCATCATATTTCATAGCACCAAAAAGTTTTGTGTAATCATAGGGGTGACCACTGGTGGGGTTCACTTTGATCTTGTTTATTTTTTCTACAATATCATGTTTGGTGGCTTGATTTATTTCTTCTTGATTATTTTTCCATAAATCCAAAATATTGAGCCGATAACATGTAAATTGAAAACTTTCTAAGAAATCACAATAAAATTCATCATTAACCCAAAGAGTTGGGTCTGAGAAATCACTATCACCACTAGCACTTGTATTTGAATGAGCACTGGTTTCAGGTAACATATCCAAGGACCTTTTATCTCGACCAGCATTATAAAAATTCACAATGGGAACTTTATAACACAACTCTTTCAAAGAATATGCTTCATCCTTATATTTTACTTGTATTGAATTAATTTTCTTTGTGATATTGTTGACTGCAGATAAAATTTCAGGTTCAAGGACATTATCTGCGGTAATAATTACTTTTTGAAGCCTGAATCCGGTACCAAATGTGTCAATATACCAGTTTGTGTCATAGTAAAAGTCAGATTCTGGAGGTACCCATAAATTCATAGGATTTTTTTCTATGTGAAATCTGAGTAGTCCAACACAGCTCAGCAACACAAAGCTGAATGTTAAAATTACTGTCTTCCATGGATGTCTTGCCACTGTCACACCAAGTTTGAAAAAAAGCCCTTCAACTATGTGAACAGATTTAGAAGACACAGATTCCCACAGTTTTTGGGGAGATCTAAAACTTTTCTCTTTAGGCATGTTTTTGAATTTAACACCTTTATTTAAATAAGAAAACTATTCATAAAACTGATTTTAATTATGTCACTGCTTTGTAATGTCTTCTCAATAATTACGCGGTTATTTAAACACATGAAGGTACATAGTTCTATTTAAAAATATCGCAAGAAAGGACGCAGTTCGAGCGATACATGTGTACGCACGCAGACGGCGACCGTCCGCCGCTCACAACTCGACTGATATATTTATCTGCGGCACCGCGTCGCGTCGAGACGCAATTATCCAATCTTTTTATTTGATAATGCCACTACTTTGCCTACAAGCCTACAGACTGATACCCAGTAGCTACATTAAACACAAGATTTAGCGCTTCCTTATCAAAGTGAATCATTTCACGACTAATTTTAAGCAATTATTTTGCATAAATGCATAATAATTGTCAAACGTGACTTGAATTCATTCATAACAAAACTATGACTACTTAGATGGTATATTGGTACCTAATTTCATTGTATTTATTTTGTAATTGTTCCATACCTACCTACCACGCCTCTTGATTGGACAAATACGAACGAAATAAAACCCATTTGATGTTTGACAATTATCACAACATAACAGTATCTATTGTGTAGGTAACTGTATTAACAGAATTAGTGTATTTTTATTGTACGAACGCGATACTAAACACTCACATTTACGACTTCCATCCGTCATTTCCAATTTGACATTTAATTATGAACAATATTTTCCCGCTTAACAAGCCAGAGCCACAGATGCATTTCCGTTGCCATTTTTATATTTTACTTTTAGAACAGTTGTTATCAACATTGCTAACTAACCTAGCCACTTTAAAGCTGCAGCCACAGGTATAGATGAATGAATCAATGATGAAATGTTTAATTATGGCCATTATGAAATCACAATCAAATCAATCAACTTAATCACATCCATAATATTAGTTATATATTTTATAAATAAAATAAAACTATAATATATATTATAATTTATATATATTTGGTATTTCAATTTAAAGCGACCTCTGACATGCTTGTTAAGCATTGAGATTACGGTGAGACCTCTCATCACTATAATATATTTTAGGATAGGATTCATCCGAGATTATTTTAAAATTAATGATGAAGAAAGAAAGTGTAAATGATTTTTTTTATTACCTACACTCTACACTGTCTTCTCGTCATAGTGTCACTTGTGTCAGATGTCATTTATGCATGCTAATGTCCAATTGTCCATTGCCCAACGTCATGTCATGTTATGTTTATTTCGATATTTTCGATGAAAGTTGAATTCGAAAGAACAAACTTGGAAATTAACAATCGTATTTTAAGTTTTGTGATAACATCTTCCGAAATAATTATTACAGTATTATAGTTATTCCTAAAGATGTGGACCACTAAAACATTTCTAACCAAAACAAAGCGCGGCAACATAATAAAAGTAAGGTTATATTTTCCACTTTAAATTGTTTTATTATTGTATTCTTGGCATTAACTGTGTGAATGTGTTACAGATTGTAAGAGAACATTATTTACGAGATGATTTGCTGTGTGGATCTGCAGCGTGTAACACGTGTCCCCATAAAGACGATGAGTTTGTGTTAGACGGTAAACCGAACTCAATCTGCACATTGTATGCGTATCCTCACTACCTGATCCTCGATACGAATGTAGTGCTACACCAGATCGACGTTCTGGAAGAAGATGCATTATCAAACGTTATTATCCTGCAAACTGTGTTAGAAGAAGTGAAACATCAAAACACTGCAATATATCAACGACTTCTGGAGATCATAGCCAACAAGAAAAGAAAATTTTATTCATTCGTTAATGAACATCATAAGTAAGATCAGCTTTATTAGAAAGTATATGAAGTAATCATATATTTATGTATCAGTAAGTATATTTGATGCTAAAATGTCATTGTGTCTTTGTAATAATTTCCAGGGACACCTACATTGAGAGGAATCCAGGTGAAAAACAAAATGATCGTAATGACAGAGCAATTCGTAAGGCTGCAGTTTGGTATGAGACACACTTGAGTATCAACAGTGTTGTGGGACAGTTCCCTAAGATTGTATTATTGACTGATGATGAGAATAACAGGAAGATTGCCCAGGAAGAGGGCATAGTCTGCTGTTCTAGTATGTACCATCATCTTATAAGCTTTGTATGTTTAAGTGCACTGCATGGCTGCTCAAATTTTTTTCAAATACATTTATAAAAAATAAAAAAGTCTAAAACTAATGACTGATTATTTATGATTGGTTCATGACTCACAATCATGAGTAAAGTACACTGGATTAAATTGTCAGTCTTAGTCTGGTGAGCTAAGCTATTAGCAGGAAATTGACTGCCTGAGATTAGATTTTCTTTTTCAAAGATGTTACTTTTATGCAATTAGCTATGATCAGATGTTATGTCTTTCATTCGTATTTCAGAAGTTTTTTATCAAATACTCCACTCTCACCTTCAGACCAAATGATCCTTAATTTAGTCTGATATTCTGTAAATGAAAAAATAAAGTACTAGAATAAATGAAAAATATGCCCAATTAATTGGTTGCACTATTGAATTTTAACTTTACTCTTTGTTTGCTAAACCAGTGCTAAGTTATTCAGCAAACTTTATATTTATCAATTTGTTTACAGTTAAGGATTATGTTGAAAATGTGACTGGCTTCATAGGCCTAGTGGATAAACTCTCAAAGAATGTGGCACCAGAGGCATGTTCCAAAGATGCTCTGTATCCAGCACATTTGACTCCTGCACAGATCCATGAAGGTATAAGGGGAGGTAAACTTTATCAAGGAACATTCAGAGCTTCTCGGGATAATTTCTTAGAGGGTACTGCAGTTGTCAACGGATTTGAGAAACCAGTGAGTGTTTTAAAACTATTAATATCTTATCTGAGTTGATATAAATGGTCCTAAATAATAAATGTATGTATTTGAGTCAATTCTGTTATGTTAAAAGTTGAGCTATTATTTTTGTTGTATTAAGCGTTTGTTTTTTTTTCATAAATTACTTGCGGTCACCCGCTGCAATGCCCATGGATGTCGATTTTATATATTTTCTTTACATACAGTCATTGTCGAGTTATTATAAGATTACAATGAAAAGTGGCAACCATAAATGTAGTTTCACATTAAGTGAACAATTGAGTAGGAGAATGAATGACAATATTTGTTTATATCGTTTTAAATGATTGTATGATTCCTTCACAGATATTACTACAAGGACACAGCGGCATAAATAGAGCAGTTGATGGAGACTCCATAGCTGTGGAAATATTCCCTGAAGAGGAATGGAGACGTCCAATGGACATTGTTCTAGAAGACAAGGCTGATGATGATCCTGGTGATCAATTGGAAGAAGAAGCGGTTTTACTGAAGAATACTAAGCCTGTTCAGCAGGGTGATGATGAAATTACTCCAACTGGTAGGGTTGTTGGGATTATAAGGAGGAAATGGAGACAGTACTGTGGTATACTAATGAGGAGCAAATTTCCAGGTACCTATGTGATATTAACTATTTCGGACCAAATTCTTTTTCATTGTTATTCTGTGACTCTTAGTTTCTTTAGTGACTAATTCGGATTCTGCCAAATTTTGTAAGAAACAAAGCCACACAAAGGCGTAACAAACAAAATGATTGTTTTCTAAAAACGATCATTTTGTTTGTTATTGCAAAGGACTGGGTGTAGTAACCTTTCCATGATTTTTAGTATGGTATCTATTTTATCAAAGTAATAATTTGAACAGTAGTTATTGGCGTAGCTTGAGCAAATTCTATGCTGTCAATAAACTGGCAATTTCGGAAATATAATAATTTCCAGCTAGCAACATTCTAAAGTTCCACGTTTTTTATATGATAAGTCAGCAAACTAGCAAGCCATGGTAAGCAACCCGGGAGAGGAGTTACGAGTGTGTAGTCAGCCTTTTGGGGATTAGAGTTTCGGAAATTAGGGGAAAGATTGGATCTCCGGTAACCTCATGAACACGGAGAAACATGTTTCGGCACGAATGGAAGTGTGGAAGAGCCATGCTTCGTCACGAATGGGTCGGCTCCACCTGAGTTATACCACGGCCTCACAGAAAACCGGCGTGAAACAACCACAACGTTGTGTTTCGCCGTGTGTGTGAGGTTACCGGAGGCCCAATCCCTAAATCCCCAAAATCCCAATCCCTAAAACTTCGGCAACGCACTCCTACTTTTTTGTGGGTGTCCATTGGCGACGCTGATTGCTTACCATCAGGTAATCCGTCTGCTCGTTTGCCGTCCTATCATATAAAAAAAAAACACTTTGGTTTTTGATTCTCGCCGGTTTTTTGTGAGGCCATGAGATCACTCCGATCGACCCGGCTCATTCGTATCGAAACTTGGCTCTGCCACTAAAAACCCAATACCACCTTTCAATTCCAGGAGCCACTCGTCACTTATTCGTACCAGCTGAGAAACGGATACCTCGCGTCCGTATTGAGACACGTCAGAGCGATGTGTTGGCCAATCAGCGGATACTAGTGGCGCTTGACTCCTGGCCTAGAAACAGTCGCTATCCACTGGGACATTTTGTTAGAGCTCTTGGAGAAATTGGTAAGTTGCAAATAACCTTTCAAAGTATGGCCTAGTTGTGTAGTATGCTGATACGAAGATAACAATTGATTCAACATGGATACAAAAGCTACCTACTTCAGAAGCAGTGATAAATGGCACTATGTTATTTTGAAATAAGAACACATTCAAGGACCCAGTTCTGGTGCTCAAATAAAGCAACTTTAGCCATAAGACCATTAAGAAATCTCAAAGAAAAATACTTTTCCATGCAAAATGATCAATCTGCTGTTGCGAGTTTTGTAGGAAAATAAATGTATTTTTGAGATTGAGATATTGATACATTTTGTTATTGTTCCATAACTATTTTCATAATTTGGATAAAATAACATGAATGCAAAACATACTAGCTCATATACAAATCTGCACAGTTGACATGGTGGCTGGCTGGCTGGGCAATCAGCTGCCTTGCAATGTTTCGCGGGTCCGATTCCTGCACAGAACAATAGAAAAATGGCTGTTTCGGATCTGGGTCACTTCACATTTGTCTATGTGAAATGGTACTATTGTAAAAACCCACGACTCAGGAAAAATCCCTAGCATGGGGCAACAACAAAAAAAAAAAAAAGATTAAAAAACATAATTTTAATTTTTTCACGCTAATAATAATTGCAAACACTTGCAAACAAAATCCTAATTTGACTCTTATTTTTTAGGTGATAAGAACGCTGAGAACGAGGTTATATTGCTAGAGCACGATGTACCTCACGCAAGGTTCAGTGAAGCGGTTCTGGCGTGTCTTCCACCTGACGACTGGACTATACCTGAAGAGGTATGATATCTTATATATTTGTATAAAAAGTCGTACTGTCATACCAAAAGACATTTAATGATTACTTAAACTTTTATAACGTGAGTAGAAACCGGATTTAAATATCATAAAATGATTACTAAGAGAAACATGGAAAACTTATAATTTTAACGTTAATAAACAAACAAACTACCTTTATAATAACACTATAGTTTAATGTGCGTATCATGAATAAAAGGTTGTTTCACTGTAAGATGCACAAAATCGAAGAAGTGTTCAAGTATCATAGCTTACTTGAAATATCAATGAACACCAGCAAAACTCATAAAAACAAAATTTTATCTGTGCAGGAAATAAAGAAACGCGTTGACCTTCGTTCGGAATGCATTTGTTCAGTCGACCCGCCCGGTTGTACAGACATAGATGATGCGCTACACGCGAAGGCCCTGCCCGGTAAGACGGAGGACGGGCTCAAACGTTACGAGGTCGGCGTCCATATTGCTGACGTCACACATTTCGTCAGACCTAATACCGCACTAGACAAGGAAGCTGCTAATAGATCAACCACCGTCTATCTTGTGGGACGACGGATTGATATGGTGCCAGGTTTGTTATTTTTTTCTTATTTTATTATTCTAGTTTATGGAAAGTTCTTCTATTTTTGTTTTTGCGAATTGTCGATCTTTCTAAAATCATCGAAATCAGTAAGTACAGCAATTCAGGCGTAACGTAAAGCATAAGGAAATAAATTCTTTTTTGTATTTCTAGTGTCAAAGGTTATTCTTTAAAGAGTTCATATTATTTACCATACTTTTTCTAACTATTCCTACTACTAATAATATTTTAAAATGTCGGAATGTATGCGCATTGTTGCGTCAAAACTACTCATTTTTTTCGCTGGTACTTTATATATTTATTTTTATATGCTTTTATTTATTTTTATTTCAGATTTACTAAGTTCCAACTTGTGTTCGTTAAGAGGCGGCGAGGAGCGTTTGGCATTTTCTTGCGTGTGGGAAGTGGATGAGAATGCTAATATTCTGCACACTAAATTTCATAAAAGTGTTATAAAGGTAAGTTTGACAATATATTGTCAATGGAATTAAAACAAAATCTAGAATAGTATTGAATATTTGGCAACGGGTTCGGCCATTTATAAAATATATGCGTATAACTTGACTAAGTTAAAAATGTACAAGTAAATAGCAAAAATATTTGTAAAGTTCATCCTAATTGTTATTATTAATGGAAATGATATAACAGACTAGCCGTCCGATAACCTAACGGTAATTAATTGGTGCCTCTGCCGTATCTGATGAGTTGCTAATCTGTTGCCGGCTCTTTTAGGGACTAGAGACATTAGGATTAGACAACACTATGAGTGAGGTAGCCTCCAGATACCTCAGTACGTGTTATGAATGGCGCGATTTTGACTATGGTCGATTCATGATGAAGCAAGACTGTCTCTACTTTACTATTTTTCTGAAATTCCAGTCAGCAGCGGCGATGACATACGAAGAAGCTCAAATAGCGATAGACGACAAGTCTCGGAATGACGCCATCGTGTCTTCACTCAGGATACTAAATACACTCGCCAAGAAACTCAATAGGAAACGTCTGGACAACGGCGCCTTGTCGCTATCGTCACCTGAAATCAGGTTCCAGGTGAGCAAGTTACATTTTTGAAGTGACAGGAAAATAAGAATCTGCTCTAAAGGTCGTAAACACTTAACTAGAAAAGGAACTTTGTTTATAATTATCACATTTTGATTTGGTTTTAAATGATATACCGAGTTTTATTTAATAGTAAGCACAGTTTAACGGTTGATACACAAGAGAAGAGAGAAAACAAATATTTGACTGTACTGAATGTCATTTTTTATCGTGAGACAGACTAAATTTTATGACAATAACTACTTACTCACGTGAATATACTGAGGAAAGCTCTACTAGTTTCAAGTTACAACGGGACTCATAAGCTGCTTGCGTGTTGCGGAACAGTTGGCTTTGGCTGCGCGACGTCGCCGCGACCACATTATTTTGTAATGTTTTGTATACTCGAGCAAACCTTATGAATTTGTCCAATATGTGTTAGGGTTCCAATAGATTTAAATAATAAATAGAAATTTAAAGAAGACTTTATTGAATCAATTTTCCAGATGGACTCGGAAACACATGACCCCGTAGAAGTACAAGCAAAGAAGATTCTAGACACAAACTCAATGGTTGAAGAGTTCATGTTGTTGGCGAATATCAGCGTGGCGCAGCGATTGGCGGCCGAGTTCCCGCAGTGCGCACTACTACGTCGCCATCCGGCGCCCCCGCCCGCCAACTTCCATACATTCTTGAAGGCTGCTAAGCAACAGGTTAGATTAAATTTTTGTTTTGTGTGTGTGTTTTGTAACACCAAAGTACCTAAAACGAGTTTTTGACAAAATTGATCATGTTACTTTGTCACTAAATATTCTGATCGACTTTTCTAAAAATTGACCGCCATAGTCAATCAAATGTGGAAGACTCGGCAATCATATCTGTAAATTACATTATTAGAGTTTTAACTATAATCACTACAACAAGGTGATTTTGAAATACATGTCTATCTCTTAATATGGAGGAAGACCTAGTTTAGGATCCGGTTAAAGGATATTTGTATGGATTTGTGTAGTTATAACACAATACCTTCTAAATCTATTCTTGGTTCATGAATCTTATGTGTACTGTTGATACATATAGTTTTTGTTTGATTACAGTTTCACAAAAGTACATCATGCTAACCCATTCTCAATGTTCCACCATTTTTTAGGGTTTCGACTTAGACGTGTCGACGAACAAAGCGTTCTCCAAGTCCTTGGACTCGGCGGTGATCCCGGGCCGTCCGTTCTTCAACACGTTACTCCGCATCATGGCGACTCGCTGCATGCAACAGGCGCAGTACTTCTCCAGCGGGAGTAAGACTGTCGAGGAATACTACCATTACGGTCTTGCCTGCCCTATTTACACGCATTTCACATCGCCTATCAGACGGTAAGTACTTAGTCAAACAGTGTTAAGATTAAGTTAAGTGTTACTCCATTGTACAGGGCTTAAACCATTGTTGTTTTTTTTCATGATTACTGAACTAAATAATGACGTTTTTGCGACCTAATACCTAAATTATTTTTGTATAAAAAACAGTATGTCGTAGGTGCTTTTACAAATATAACGAGAACTGCACAGTCAATGAATATGAATTATATCTATTATTATTTATTTGTCATACAATAAAAATATTACGGGTATTAACTGATCAAAGTTCTAATACTACGCGTGTCGGTTCGCTGCGTGACATCGCTGCGACGCGTACGCTGCTCATGAATAAGAGACCCGTTGTGACTTGAAACTATATTTTATATCACATAAAAGCAAGTTAATAAATCTTACAAGAAGTTTTAATACAAAGAATTTGTAAAAGAATTATGATAAAAAAAATGCTACACGGTTGCCTTATTGGCGGACCGCCCATTCTCATTATTGTTTGTGTCAGACATTGATTTTTCTATACTAATCTTAAATTTTTCTCATCTAGTTACGCGGACGTTATAGTGCATCGTTTACTGGCAGCCAGTATAGGTTGCGACGTGACCCACGCCACGTTGCTGGACACGAAGGTCGCCAACTCAGTCTGCGACAACCTCAACTACCGACACAGGCAGGCGCAGTATGCCGGCCGGGCCTCTGTCACTATGAATACACATGTACGTATTTATTCCTTAGACAAATTAAAGGGGCATGGAACACGTTCCATGAACATCCTTTTCCATTCATGTTTAGCTCTAATAACAACACTTAGTTCTCTTTAAATAATCTCAAACTAATTATTTTTTCTTATATTTATGACTAAGTACTTGGCAAAAGTATTGGTCGAAATTGATGATAATTTTTAAATTGATAAAGTACTCAGTTTCTTTATGTTGTAAAAGATACAATGCCTTTATAGTTTGCGCAACATTGCGCCAAATTGAGCAACATTCACGCACCAGTTGCGCAACAGTCAATCAGCTATGTTGTATAATTAATGAGCGATACTTAAATATTTCTGCAGATCCTCTTCAACAAACGCGTGGAGGTAGAGTTAGCGAGTGTACTCGCCGTAAAACGGAATGCTGTGCACGTGCTTATACCGAAGTATGGACTGGAAGGTCCACTGTATTTGCCTTCTGATAAGTTCACTTATAATGAAGAGGTAAGAAGATTTTTTATCGAGCATGACATACATCGAAATTGTCATTTGTCATTAATATATAAAATCATTTTGAATGCAATGTATTTTGGAAGAATTAGAAAAAAAGATTTTCAACTGCATCATCCTCAGCCTATAAGTGCCCAGGTACTGCTAAAAAGGCCACTTCTTTCACGAAGGTTTGATCATTAATGCCGTAAACCATGCTCGCTCAAGGCGGATTTGTGAATTATGATTAGAAATTATAATTTCAGGTTTTCTTGCGATGTTTTCCTTCACAGTTTGTCTTTGGTGTCCAAATAAATTCTCCTAGAAAATACACATAACATGGAAAGTTATGTGTATTTTCGATTATAAAGTCGAATTGGTATTTTTATTATTCTATTGGAGCCACACCCTCATGCATAAGAAGCGGGCGCTTTAAATTCTAAGACCACCATGTCATAATTATGTCAACTACATAATTATAGTACCTCATTTAATAAAAAAATCTTTCCAGGAACACATCCAAACATGCGGAGACGTGGTGCTGAAGACATTTGACGAGCTCACGGTTCGTCTTAGCCTGGACAGTAGCAACCTTCAACATAGAAAGCTGGTCTTCGAGCTGGTAAAGCCCCATATTCCAGGGTTCAGCGTTGACGTAATGGAAGTTGAAGATAACAAGAAAGAAACAGAGAAAGACCAGAAAAAGCGCAAAGAAGAGACCCCAGCAAAAAGCGCTAGTAAGAAATCTAAAAAGAAATAATACTGTATGTATGTGTAAATATATATTTTTTACAAAAATTCTGGTGTTTTTTTTCAATATGCTTTTGCGGCAAGTATCTTCAAAGTTGACCCGGTTGCCGAGCAACGTGTCGCGTATGCGGTAATTCGCACGGAACAACTCTGTGTCATCCACAAATTGTTGTTCCAAGTCGAGGTGTGTATGTGACATTGTATGTTTGTCAAGACACTCACTACAGAGAAAACCTAGTGTAGGAGGGGAGGGGGGGTAATGTTTCATAAAAAAGTCATACTAATTGTAAACGCAAAAGTTTATATGTGTGGATAGATAGACTATTCTTTCAGGTATAAAATACTGAACGTATCTAAATAAAATGAGCTATAAATATAGAGTCTGGAATAATTCATAGGCTATCTTTTACACTAGTTCCGTGGGCGAAGCCGATGTCAAAATCTAGTTTATGCTGAATAAAAAAAAACATTCCATTCTCTGGAAATGTGACAGTTCATGCCTGCTCAGAACATAATAACTTAATAACTGCCCTTAATATAATATTCACTTTTAACTTCATATTAATAAGTGTGAAGGCATTACAGAGTATTATTAAGTGACATGCAACTGAAGTGCAAATTATTGTTCAAGGACTCAGCACCTCGTTTTGTCTATACTAATATTATAAAGAAGTATTGCAAGTTTGTATGTAGGGGGCCTAATCTTTAGAACAGCGCGGGTCGGATTTCCAAAATCCTTTCACTGGTAAATACTTACAATGTTGCTAAGTGCTACAGGCTACGGGCTATAAATTATATTTGATTACGTATTGTAGTCGTACTATCGCTTTAAACTCTGCTGTTTTTAAAATCTCGGGATACAAGAGTGCAAAGCCGCGAGCGGAAGCTAGTATTAAATATAATTAATTTCATATTTTATATTGAAATATTAGAATGCGTTATTGCAGTTAACATTGTTGTGTCCATAGGTTGTTATTGCTGATCTTAAAAAAATGTTTCACTTGGATACATACGCGGGCGATGCTGTTGTGTAAGTATTTAATATAATAAAACTAAAATGGTATTAAGTACTTTTTCAAAAAAGATTAAGAAAATGACAAATTTTTGTGTGTATCTGCTAACCATGAATCACCTAATGGCAAGCAATCAGTGCCGCCGTAACCTCAAAGGAGAAACATCGCACGCGTTTTTTCAAGTCGTTCTCTTAGGGCGTGGTATCACTTCAGTCGAAACATCGCAAGCGTTTCTTCTCGCCGTTCTCTTAAGCCTTCAAACGATCAGGCCTATTTGTGGCAAAGCGTGGATCTCCCACAAAATATTAACCAATATCACACTGTTGTTTTTCTTCTTCAAGAAAAATATAACTATGTAAATTGTAAGTTTCGTTTTCGAATTTTAACTTTTTGTCCATCGTGTTTCCGAATAAAGTTTTCAGTCTGTAGGGTACTAAGGGCTAAATTACGTGCTCACATTTTGAGACATCATTGTTTTATACTTTTCCAGTGGCATCAGCGGTCCAATGGACTATAAATACATGAAAGTACTGCGTTTCGTTCTCCGCATTATAAGTGGTTGGCCTGGGAAGGCTCTTGGCGAGAAAACTCTAAAGATTGAAGGAATGGGCCATGCGTACTACAACACTATACTCTCGCTTATTTATTTGGCGTTAGGCATAGCTTATTTGAAGAAGAATGCTCATAGATTCGGCTTTTTGGAACTTGGACATTTATATATAGTGCTACTTATGAATATGCTGTCTACTGTGAGTTTAGTATATTATTTTAGTTGACCTATTTCACTTTGCTTGGATATCAAACATGGACTAGATAAATTTTAACATAGGACGTAATTTGTAGGTATTATGTGCCACATAATTTTATCGGCTATTTAAATATTTTGATTTCATTTAGGCGCTTAGTCTCTGTATGAGCAAAGTCTATCTGCTTTAACGTTTTTGTTTAGTATAATACTAGTTAAACATTTTTATAAGACTGCGTAGCAAGCAATTAGAGCGACCACCGAGTGGTAAGCAATCGGCGCCGTCTCTACCAGGACCACTACAGGAGTTATAAGCTACCCTTTCAGGAGTTAAGAAGGATGCCATCGGAAGAAAGCCGCTAGCTGCTACAAACACCATTCACATGGCGATACACAACGCAAGTCTTGTTTGACGCCAGACTTAATGTTGTCAGAAAAGTAATTTAGCTAAGAAGTGCAAAAATAAGTAAAAAAAAAAACTTGTTATTCCAGTCACGAGCATTTACTCTATGCCTATCGGAAAAATATCGAACCGTGGCAAAGATATTCATACAGAAAGTTCATCTGTTCTATTTCAAGGATAATTCTGAGTATGCAATGAGCGTAAGTATAAATCGTGCTTCAATTGACTTGTTGTACGTCTTCTTCTTTTTTATTTAAATACGTCCCACCCACAAGATTATACAAGAAGTAGCTGGTTGCGGGTTAAGCGCAATGAGTCACCGCGGCCCCGGCCCAGACCAGAAGAAGGAACGGACGGAGAGGGGGTTAGTCAGTAAGTGTCTGACACTCTCTCGCCTTTCCCTGGGCGAGTGGGAGAGGTCATTTAAATGATTTTCCCCTGACAAAAAAGGGTCACAGAAAGTAGCTGGACATAGGTTGCTCCCAGCCGGTCGATCTGTAGCTGGGGTTGCAGGTGCAAGCGGGATGTTCTACCGGGGCCTCAGCCTGGAGCTGGAGAAGCAGTAAAATCCTCTCGCCCCACCTAAGGTGGGAGAAGGCATTTGATGTCATTGTTCAACTCAAAAAATAAAAAGTCGGTCAATTTGGAAGTCAAACTGATGATCTGGAAGGTAAACGAGCAGACTCCTTACCTGATGGTAAGCAATGAAAAAATGAATTTATTTTTGCAAATAGGCCATAAACGGCACTTTTACACGTCAATAAACGGCGCGTCTATGGAGCAGCTGTAGTTGTGTCACTCCGGTTTACTGTGAGGCCGGAGTACCACATCGAGCCGGCCCATTGTGCTGAAGCATGGATTTCCCACACTTAAAAAGCTCATGTTCAGCAGTGTAAGTCAAATGGCGGAAATGATGATGATCATAAAACCTATTGGGGCCTACATAGGCCACATAGTAAGAAACATAAGGAGTTGTACCTACTGCCACGACAGGCTTACCAATTATCCTTTATTTCAGATACACGTAACAGTGCATAGAATATCATATTTCGCAGCGGTATACGTGAGCATAATGCTCTCAATAGCGGCTTGTCTATTCAATCTGATACCCATGTACAACAACTACGCTGCCGGCAACTTCGCGTCCTTCGATAACTTACAGAATACAACGTATGAACACGCTATTTCTTGCTTATATCCATGGAACTTCGAAACTAATTTCAATGGATATCTTGTTGCGACTCTCAGTGGCTGGTAAATATCTTTTTTTTATGAAATAGGTGGCAAATCAGTGGACGGATTACCTGATGGTAAGTAGTCAGCGCCGCCTGCAACACCAGAGGAGTCACAAGCGCGTTACCGCCCTTTTAAGAAGGGTACGTTTCTGGACGGTTTGATTTTCTTATCGGTTCGGAAACACCGCAGTCGGAGGTTGTTGACTGCCAACCAACTATATGATGGGGATGGAAATGTTTTTTTGTTTCTTTATTGTCGTACTTATAGACATTTACTGATTAACTATATCTTAGTATTGAAATTGTTCCGAACAATTGCTCGAGTTTATTACGTTTTTTTTTTGAAACCTTTTGAAACGATATCTTAAAAAGAGACATATGAAATGACCACTGATGAGATTTCTGACATCCCTATAAAGACAATGAAATACCAAAACATTCTAAAAGTTTACAGTCTGTTTTGACTTATCAAATGACCACATACATAGATGTATCGTGAATGGTGGATTTACCGTCAATTTTTCTTTGTCCAGAAAAGATCTCAGAACCATCCAACTACGTTCGAAAATTTCAGTCTAATTCTCAACTTTCTCCATCACCATTTTTAAGGTACGGCACAATGTTATGTGGTAGCAGCGTGTCCATGTTTGACCTGTTCCTCTGCCTCATGATCTTCAACCTCTGGGGACATTTCAAAATACTTATTTACAATCTGGACCACTTCCCCCGACCTGCGACAGAAGTGGTTGATGCAGAGGGAGAAGAAAGAAGCGGAAGGATCATAGGGTCCGAGATGTACTCGGAGAGCGAGTTGGAGGAGGTTTCTGTTAAGTTGAAGGAATGTATACAGTACCACATGTTGATTGTTGAGTGAGTTACGAAATATCGCTTTTAGATCTCTTTGTTTATTATCCAATTATTGCGGTCACTAAGGCTTTGTAAACAAGCACTGGGCGTCGCTTATTTGGCGTGCGAAAATGAGACCTATACCTTAACCTGGTCGGAACTGTGGATGGCAAGCAAGGCTATCTCGCCTCCTGTCTAGAACCATAACTGAGCGTAACCGAGTAGCATTTCGAGCGCGCCTCAAAAACTAAATAGACCACCAGATCAGACGGGAAGAAGAAGGAAAAAGAAGAATGATGTTCAATACTGGGGTTGTGGGGCAAGCGCGATTATGTACCGCGTTCCTTGCTTAGACCAGAAAAAGGATGGTTTTTATTCAGAAAGAGTTTGATACTCTTTCTCGCTCCACCCAAGTCAAAAGAAGTCATTTGATTGTCTCCCCTCAAAAGAAAGCCCTAACCAGTGTTCAACGAATATCAGTATTGTATTTCTTAAACACATTTCAGCTTCACAAACAACATGTCGGATGCATTTGGAATGGCCCTCTTCATATATTACTCCTTCCATCAAATTACTGGTTGTCTACTCTTACTCGAGTGTTCTCAAATGGTAAGTTTTATTTTGTGTCATTTGACCTTCTCAAAATTAAACTTAGAACAGTATAATTAGGGGCCAAATGAACGAAAAATAAAAGCTTATCTCCCCTTTCTCTAGTCGGTCCTGGCGCGAAATAGACAACATAATCAAGTTGCCATACTTATGTAGAAAATTGTATTTGTAATTTGCTTCTGGGTCAGCGAGACGGTGTCTCCTAGCACGCAGCTAAATTTACTTATGAATACTTAAGTAATTTCTATTTTTTTTTTACACAGACGGCTGCAGCACTGTCTCGTTACTTACCACTGACCATAATTATGTTTGGAGAGCTGGTCCTACTATCAATTATTTTCGAAACTATCGGCACAATGGTAATTTTAATTTTGTTAACTTTTATTAAACCTTTTCCCCTCAAATAGTTAAACATTATAATTGAGCATCAACACGAGGCACAATCTCGTCATTAATCTGTTTCATTCTACGGTTTTTTTATGTGTTAGATCGGCAAACGAGCGGGAGGATTACCTGATGGTAAGCAATCAGCGCCGCCCATAAACTGGTGTCCATATCCCGCAACAACAGAGGACTTACGAGTGCGTTGCCGACCTTTTGGGGATTAGGGATTAGGAGATTTAGGGATTGAGGAGGGATTGGGGTGGGGAAGTACCTATTGGGCCTTCGGTAACCTCCCTCACACGGCGAAACACAACGCTTTGGTTGTTTCACGCCGGTTTTCTGTGAGGCCGTGGTTATTATGGGGTAGGTTATTTTATGGCTTAGCATACTTATTAAAAATAAAAATCAACCACAAAGACTATGCCGAAGACTAGCAGCTTATTTCAATACTTTACCTATTGAACAACTTCTTTTCAACTAATGTTGCCATGTTTAATAACATTTACACGCTTTCAGAGTGAGAAATTAAAAGATGCAGTATACAAAATGCCATGGGAGTACATGGATACTAAGAATCGTAGGACTGTACTGATATTCTTAATAAAAGTTCAGGAGCCTATCCATGTGAAGGCTGGAGGTTTAGTCGATGTAGGCGTCACCACTATGGCTTCGGTAAGTTTTGATAGACCGACAGACTGGCACGCAAAAAGTTAAACCTCTTACATTTTTTTTCTTTTTTTGCTTGACGTTCAAAAGTGCCTACTGTGTGTTAAAATAAATGATTTAGGTAATTAACTTTTGAAATCGCGAATCCGCCTTGACCAAGCGTGGCGGTTATTGCTCAAACATTCTCCGTGTGAGAAGAGGCCTTTGCGCAGCAGGGATGATGATGTGATTTGATATCGTTAACTCAAAGAGCAATTTTGCTAAAGTAAATATTGTACATAGTTGAAAATACGAATATCAACATTTTATAATTCATTTTTTTTCTTATTTTCAGATTCTGAAGACATCTTTCTCATATTTCGCTTTCTTGCGCACGTTTTAAAAATGATATCTCTATTTATTTATCAATCAGTGCTTATAACCTTTATTCCATTATAAAATACGCATAGTAAATTCGACTTGTATTAAATTGCACTATTATATTTATATTGTGTTTTATTATTACAAAATTTAAATCGTAGTTATCTACACGTAGGTCGTAGCTACGCATCGTAGCCGCGTTTGTAGTTTGTATCCTAGTCTAGTGATCTTAGTAGTTTCACCTCGGAATTTGAAATACCAAGCTGCATATTGAAAGTAAATTTATTCACACACCTTTAAGTGCGGGAGAGCCATTCTTCGGCACGAATGGGTCGGCTCGACCGGTATGATACCACGGCCTCACAGAAAACCGGCGTGAAACAACACTTCCGTTGTGTTTCGTTGTGTGAGTGAGGTTACCGGAGGCTCAATCCTTCCAATCCTCAACCCTCAAATCCCCTATTCTTAAATACGTAATAACCCACTAGAGGCTCTCGTGGGTTATTGCGTACTATTTGTAGTAACTCCTTTGTTATGACGAGCGGTACCTAATTATACGAGCCGAACCGACATCGTACGAGATGAACTGAAATGATACGAGACAAACCGAAATCATACGAGACGAACCGAAACTATACGACCTGAACCGAAATCGACAATGCTTCTCTGTACACAACATTACTTGTATTGCCTTCTGGAAACAAAGCAGTTTCTGAGTTGCAGCATAGCTCCTGCACTTAAAGGTGTGTGTAAAAGTAGGCCTTAAATTTATTCCAAGTGGTCTGAATAATAAAACAAATTTAATACCATCTAGGTACGGGGTTGAAAAAAATACAAAAATATTTTCTAATTTTTATTAAAAACAATAATAAATTTCATAACTAACTAACAATTGACATTGACATGATCACAGTTTCATAACATCAGACATAATAACAACTTATTCGAATGTCAACATAATATTATAGATAAACACACAATTTATCACGGTTGTATATAACTAGCAGTCATCTCATCATTTATATGATGAGTCTATACGTCCACTTTCCACCTATTTACTTCAATCTCGTATCGGTAACTTGGTAAATTCCTGCCCGCGATGTGGCAAAGAGCCACTTGACTGTATCGAATTTACTTCGCTTAGCTAAAAGCTAATGATTGAACTAGTTGGCTATGCGTCGGCGCATGGGAGGTGGGCTCACTGCCGTAGTTGGCGGAGGTCGTAAAGTATCTCCAGAATTTTCCAAATCTTCTGCATCTTCTTGACTCTCTGCGCTAGTGCTTGGTACCTCTTCCGGGGTAATTATCTGTGGTACAGTTCCAGCGGCAAGGTGCGCTCTAGCAGTGATTTTGGCAATTTCTTGGTCGATCTTAGCGACTAGCTGTTCGATAGCGGTGGGCCAGCGAGTGGCCGGGATGATGTGAGACGGTACCAGCCGCGCGTCCGCCATTACTGCTAGACGTACGGTGTCCGCGTACTGAATCACGGTTAGGGACATACCTGAAATTATTAATTAAATATACAATGCATGTTATGTAAAACTTAGATGGCTAAGTAATAACCATTGTCCAGCAGCTAAAGTTGGCATAAGACTTCGATTCTCTTTTATAGGTATCTGCTTTAAGTTGGATTGTTCAGTTGTTGCTCATTTATCAGGGCAGTTTTAACTTACTTATATTTGCTTGTGGAGGTCTCCAATATACGACGGCATCGACCTCCTGTCCCCACAGCGTATGGCGTGGAGGAGTGTGAGGTGGCGCGTCAATCTCGGCGTAAGAGAGCGCATAACGCCGTGAGACCAGGTTGAGTATGAGACGTGCTAGCGGTGAGGGGATAGCTCGCGTCAAGGCCCCAAACCTGGCTTGCGCCGCCCAGCCCGCAGCGAGCGCGCGCTGTCGCTCGCATGCGCGCCGCACTACAGCACTCACACGACGCGGCGACGCACCCGGCGTCAGAGATAGACACACCATACCTGTGTAAAATAATAATTAAAATATTAAGTACCGGATTAAAATATTAAGTACCGGTTTATTGTTGTTTTTTTTTATTTATGCCAAGTATTTTTTAAGTTAATCAGAGGGCAAAATTCCCTGTCTAAATAGAAAGGGAATTATAATAATAACATACTCAGTGACAAGCGAAAATATAAAGAGAGTGCTGGACAAAAATATAAAGAGAGTGCTGGAATTTCGTCGAAAACTGACTGTGACAGTACCTTACTATTCTTTTTTCTTTTAATAAATCGTTTTCCCATACTAGGATTTTCTCCTGTGTCGTGTCAAAGTCAAACTTACAATTTCGCATACACATCGCACTCAGACCCGGAACAACAATTTGGGGATCACACAAAAAGTTCCGTTCGGGAATCGAGTCCGCGATACGTTGTGCGGTAGCCAGTTGCCCAGTCACCACGCCAACCGTGCAGTTACTGTTTAGTACGCATATATTGCATAACTTCCATCGGAATCTACACTTTGGAATGAGCGAATAGCTTCACTAAGAGGACTGACCGACAGACTGACAGTTTGTATCTTTAAAGTTGTGTTGACGTTCAAAAGTGCCTGCATGGGTCTAATTGAAATAAATGATTTTGACTTTTGACTTTGACTACTATTACTTTTGTCTAAGTTTCTAGTACCAGTACATTGCATCACCCTATATGGCCTTAAAGAACTATAACCTTACTAAAACCATTTTCTTTCTTACCTCCAGTTTGTGACTTTTTATAACTCTTTCCGTGGCCTTCGGCGAAGGTGTAGAGGAAGTCTTCATGCGCTGCGCGGGCCGTCGTTAAAACAGATTCAGGTGCATGGGACTGAGAGTTGTCGAAGAAAGCCCTTAATGCTTCTGTGACGGCGAACAGTGCTATGTCGGTTGAAGATACGTCGAGTGCTCGGGCTGCGCGTTCCACTCCCGCTCGAGGGACGGGCCGTGACCACGCTGTTACCTGATGTTAAGTAGTTTATAATTATTTATCTATATTTCTATGTATACTGGTCATCGTTGTATAGATTTGCTTCTTTTTCTTTATTTCCCTACATCATCGGATTTTATTTGTATTGTACTCAGGAGAAAACTGTACTGTGGGTTCAATACAGGAGAATATCCTAAGTTCCTAAAATACGTTTACAAACATAGAAAATCTCTCGTTTACAAATATATTATTTAAAGATTTGAACTGATTTCTATTGGGTACGTAACCATTTGTAAAAGTATTATAGGCGTGATTTTAACGACGAAGCGTTTGATAATGCTAGGTGACTTCAACCTACGACTCCAACCGACTAATTGGATTGAAAAAAAAGTTGTGTTCAAGTTACCTTTCTCCCGCACAAAGATACAGTTTGTAAAACATGTCGGTTCCCATCGTCTGCTCCGATCGTATCAGTCCATAGTCTAGCAGGGGCACGATATACTTCGAGCACTCCTCGACAAGCTTCACTTACAGCTGCCACACAGAGCTGCGCTAGTTCTGCGTATTTCCACGTCAGCGTGTCTGGTTGTCTCGCATGACCACAAGTCCGTAACTCATTTAAAGCAATCAGTTCATTGCGAACACGAAGGGGCAGCACGAAGAACTGACGCAGTGATGTAAATATTGCACCAATAGCCATACCCGGCCATTTTCTAGGGTCCATTGTTATTAGAGGTGATATGATTATCTGTGAATGAGATTTTGTTTAAGTAAACAAATTCAGATTGTTACAGGCTACGTTAGTTATTTGATAAAATACTATCTTACCTTTGGTATTGTTAAATTCCTTCTGTTACATTCTCTTTGGATTGCTGCTAAAATCGTCAGTGCAGTGACGGGAGCTTCTGAAGTGTTTCTGCCATTAGATTTTTTGTTGAGCTCCCTCAATGCACTCACAGTTGCTATTAGGACTAGACCTGCCACGTGGAACGCTCCAGGCAGAGTTTTTAAGGCTCTTGGGCTTTCTACTGGATCGTATTCTGATACGAATTCATTCCAAGCGTTCGATAAGTTCTCATTAACTTTTCCCCACAGCTCAGGAATAGCTGAAGGCGATGGGGACAGCTGTGTTAATGGACTCTGTTGTGTGTATTCCGTCGGAGATACAATGATTCTGTCAGAAGGGTTGATCTGTTCCATGAGGAGCAAGTCTCCGATGTTCAGAGACTTCTTCCCGGAGAGCAGGAGGTGGTGTACGCGGACTAGAATGTAGTACTTCGGTTCTGCAGACACGCACGGTATGACGATGTACTGCCACGGAGATTGATCGCTTGCGAAGTATTTTGATACTATATCGCTCACGTATTCCTGAAAATGAGATCGATCTGTAATAAGTTACATTTTTATTATTTTTTAAGTGTGGGAGAGCCATGCTTCGGCACAAATGGGTCGGGTCGACCGGAGTGATATAACGGCCCCAAAGAAAACCGACGTGAAACAACCAAATTGTTGTGTTTCGCCGTGTGAGTGAGGTAACCGGAGGCCTATACTTCCCATGGAGATTTGGGGATTGGGGGGGGGGGGGTGGGCAATCCCCTAAATCTCCAAATCCCTAAACCCCAAAAGATCGGCGACGCACTCGTTACTCCTATTGCGGGGGCTGATTGCTTACCGTCAGGTGATATCTATCTAGGTATAAAAGTCATCTAAGCTATAGAAATATTGTTTTAAGTTGTAGGTTATGATAAGAGGTAAGTGTACCTGAATATTATGCTCGCCAACTTGCCGCCCCCTATATACGGCGCTCGCCACAATGAAGTGGTTCTCAGGTCTGAAGACCACACTTGGGTCCCACGCATAGTTCCCCCATCGGGAGACCAGCTGATGCCGAAGCCTCGGGAACATGAGGCCATCGTTCTTATCTCGTTTGTTGATCACGTGGTCGGTGAGATGGTTCTTTATTTCTTCTGGATCTAATGTGCCTGGAATTTAAAATGTCGAAGTTGTTAGATTACTATATTATTATAAGGTCTATCCTATCAGCCACTTTATGTCCGCTATTAAAAACTGAACATAGGCCCTACTCAAATATCTTCAACACTATTCA